GATGTGGTAGGTTATGATACCTTTTTCTTGTTCTTGGTCTTTATGTATTTTTTTTTCTTCTGTTTTTTGTTTTGTTTCGTTCTTTGTCTTGCTCTTGTTCTGTCATCCTCCTCCTTCTCCGCTTTATGATTACTTCTTCTTGGTCATAGTCTTCCTGTAGTTTTTTTCTTCTTTTTTTTTAGTTCTTTATCTTGCTTTTGTTTTCTCCTGCTCCTCCTTTGGCTTCAAATGTCGAACAATTACCAAAGGTTGTGAAAATAATCTAGGAGTAACAGAATTGTGGTTTCCGAGGAGACTGTTCTGGGTTTGATGGCAGGAGAAGTCAAACTAAGGTAATGTTGAAAGAAGCTTGCATATGACGCTCACTGTGAAGAACAACTAAGAAGAGACAATCTATGCAGTTTCTGGGGCACTTGACTTGACATAGCTACATGGAACACCTTGCCCTCACTTGAAAGCTCACACAAGAACAGAAGCAGTAAGTTGGGTAATAATGCACAAACACACTGACAAGTTGGCACTGGGTAAACCTTTCAGAACTTCATTATCACCATCGTGGAGTGCCAGATCTGAAGCAGACATCGCTAAACAATTTTCACCATCCTTTTTCCAGCACCTGTGTTGAAAAAGAAAGCTATACATTGTATTGTCCTCTTCTTTCCCTATCTGTTCATGATCTCTGTGTAAGTTATTCTTGGTCTAAACCCCCCCCCCCCTTCCCCCACCTCTTTAACCATCTGTTTTTACCCACTTGTTAATTTGTCCATGTTTTATTACCCTTGTGGGTGTTTGGAGGGCACCACTTCTTTACTTTCCCTCTGTTGTCTCTGTCAGTCTGTTTTACTTTTTCCCAGCACTAAATTACCATTATTAAGTCAATGTGCTTCCCTTTATTCAAACACAAACTCAGACACAGTTTGTCCCTGTGTTACTCCCGGCCTGTTGTTGTTAATTTTGTCATTGTGTTTTTTACGGAACCGTTGCTGTCCACAGAAATACATGGCGCCGCAGCTCGACCTATTTGGCGACGTGTTCAACAGCTACCGACTGTACGGCACGCTGGTGATGATCCTCCTGGCCATCGTCGTCTTCATCGGCGTTGGCTTCGTCAGCAAGTTCGCCGCCCTGTCTCTCGCCTGCGTCATTATCTCCATTTTGTGTATCTACATCGGCATTTTTGTATCCAGCCCCGACCGCAGCGTTGAGTAAGTGGCAAAGTTCCTGATGGGGAACATTTAAAAGATATTTATGCCATCATTGTGTTCCTACTTCTACAAAAATAGAAAAGTTCTCCGACTATTCAGGGGTTACAGCCAAATCCTGTGAGCAGTTCTGGTACTTTAGATCGCTGAACAATCAGCAAAGACAAAGCTATGTCAATGACTGAAGGTTTTGCTTTTGCCTCTTTAAGACTGAACACGTTGTTAGTGCAGTTGCTTCTGATTTTGACTGTAGAGAGTGTGGTCCTGGTTCAAATCTTGCTGCAATGTTCTTGAAATTTGTTGAATGGATTTTTTTGGCAACTGCAACACCTTCCCCCCCTCCCCCTTAACTTTTTAAACATATTTTCATTGTCCCTTTGTGGTTTCCTCAGGGTCAAAGATGGGGTCCCATAGATCTGTCCTATAATTGAGCTCTGTGTGTCCCATGCCATAGATAGACCAGTCCCATAACTGAGCTCTGTGTGTCCCATAGATAAACCAGTCCCATAACTGAGCTCTGTGTGTCCCATAGATAGACCAGTCCCATAACTGAGCTCTGTGTGTTCCATAGATGGACCAGTTCCGTACCTGAGCTCCGTGTGCCTTTGATGGTGCTCCCTTCCCTATAACTTTCTCTAAACCAATGCCATATCCAAGCCTGACACGGCCCCACAATGTGCCCCTGACAAAGAGTTCAGTTTGTGTCATGTTGGACTAGCCTGCGGATGACTGTTGTTCGAATTCCGAAAGAGAAGTTCTTGAACTCCTTGGATTGTCTGCAAAGGTTAGATAGTTTTACTCTCTGTTGACTCAGTCCTCTCAGAGATTGATGTTAAATCAGAGCTCTTAACCGTTTAAATAGTGGATGGTTGATGGGTGCCACTGGTAGGTGCTACTTCTTTTTTTTGCCAGCATTGTTTCTGTCAGTCTTTCTAGCTTTTCCACTGCATAATGATGGTTTCTGTGCCGATATGCTTCTCTTTACCCAAACAAACAACCTCTTAATGTGATGAAAGGGTTGTTTGATCCCCTTCCCTGCTTTCTCTCCACACACCACAGCATACGAATTGTTCCTTTTTGACATTAACATTTCAGATGCATGACTGTGCTAAGATGATTTCTGAACCCCTCAAACAAGTGCAGGTCTTTCTTTCTGCTGTGTGTTAACCCTCTCTGAGCCCACACTATGTTGCATTTAATCCTTTGACAGTGATGTGTGTGTGTGTGTGTATGCGTGTGTTTGTGTGTGTGAAATAGTACCCACACCTTGGAGCAGTGATATTAACCCTTTTCTTGTTGAGTCTGTGACATACACTTCTTATATGAGAGTGGCAATGTGCTTTATTTAAAAGAAGCAAAAAACATAAGCTAAGAGTTTAGAATGTTAGACAGCAGGTGTATGAGAAAGACACAAAAACATTAGAATGTTAGACAACAGCTGTGATGACCTTCCAGCTTTTAGTGACAGAGAAACTTTATGATCTGCTCCGACCTTTCTCATAACAGATTGCTCCCCATTGTTCTAATTCAAATCTCTTCTTCCTTCTCCTCCTCCTTTTCCTCCTCCTCTTTCTCCTCGAGTCACCATCTACCTCACCAGAAATCAAGATTTAAGCTCACATTGATAAGAAAGACTTAAAAGTTCCAGTACATAATGACAGTCTTCTCTTATGGTAGAAGACTACAATGTGGGCTGAAGGAATCTCACCTAAGATTGTTCCTGCTTGGTGGGACGGATATACTTGTAGTGACCAAGTCCCTTTTGGATCTCTCATGATAATGATAAATGGCATTTGTATAACGCAAAGTCCCGCTCAACAACAAGCTCTATTCGCTTTACAACCCATATTATGGCCCCAGCATTCTAAAACAATCTCAAGGTCCCTGGTTGCAAAGAATAGAGTCCAAGCTGCCTTTTTTACAGGTGCTTAAACACTAAGAAACTGACAAGATCTTTCACCGTTCAAGGTCGAGTACCCATTCACACCTGGGTGAAGTGAGGAAAATTCGGGTAAAGTACTCTTCCCTTTTTCCAAGGACACAAGGTTGAGCTGAGCTGGACCTCGAACCCTCGAATCCGCAACATTACGGTTAGGAGTCCGGTTGCCTAACCAGTAGACCAGCGAGGCCACTCGTGGTAGTTCTGTGACCTGCTTTTGTTGCATTACGAACGTTCTGGGGGCTGATAATGGTTCTTCTGGTCAAGAGAGTCTCATGAGGGTCATGGTGAACCTCTTACTGTGACATGCTTACTGTGACTTGTTTCTGACAACTTGTTACATCTCTGATGGACGTGATGTCAAGCTGATGTGGGTTTTTTTGTTTGTGTTGATTACTTAACACGTTATAGTGAAAAGTGCGTGCGTGCCCGTTGCGGTGTAAACTAACATCTTTGATGCTTGAGAAATCTTAACTTTTAGAGGTATTCATGGAAGATATAGAAGCCTGACGGAAGACAGATATTATCGTTAATTTTTATTTTTTTTGTATTACTATTATTATTATTGTTATTATTTTCATCCTTATTATTATTATCATCATTATTATTATTATTGTCATTATTATTATTATCATTATATTAATGTTCTTCAGGGAATAGTGTGTTTTAACGCACAATCAATGCCCAGTATATCATTTGTTTATTAACTGATGTGAATTTCCTAGGTGTTTTTGTAGTCTTATTACAGCGTCTGACTGTTTTGTTGAGTACGGTGTGTGTAAAGGATTTATAGTTTGAACAGCTGTGTCTGTACTGTATGTGTGTATGCCTGTAGGTAGAACCTTAGTCATCTGCTTCTTTGCTATGTTTTATTGCTGCGAGTGTCAGTCTTCCATCCCCCCCTCTGTAGGAGTGGGTGGTTGGAGGGTGTATGTTGTGGTCTGCTGCTTGTGCTTTTCCTCATTGTTAGACGGGTGTTTGGAGGACATCACTGGTAGGTTCTACTTCGTCTTCTCTTCCTGTCTGTTGTTTTTGTCTATCTGTCTTGCTTTTTTTCCTATCCCTAAATGACTGATATTGTTTGATGTGCTTCTCTTTACTCAAACAATCATCAGTGTGACAAATTTCCAGTTAAAAGTTGGCTGTTATGTTGGGTACTCTGGCTGTAAACCAACTGAAGACTCCAGAAGAAAACCCCCAGATGTCACGCTGTCTCTATCTGTCCTTTCTATGGTAAAGATGTCACACTGTCTCTATCAATGAAATGTCCTCCCCATGCAAGGAGTGTGTGGACAGTTTATATCTGCGGGTGGTTGGAGACGCTTTCCCTCTATTGTTTCTGCCTTTCTGCCTGACCTTTTCCTAGCCCTAAATGATCGTAAATTATCATGTCAATGTGTACATCTTCACTCAGACAACGCAGTAAAAGCAAACAAACCGTTTATGTTGTTGCTCTCCTCTGCCGGCAGGGTGCGTATCCTGGGCAACCGTCTGCTGACGTGGGAGTCGGTCATGTTGTTTTTGTCTGTCTGTCTGTCTGACTTTTTCGCAGCACTAAATGGCCATAAATTATTGTGTCAATTTAATGGTGTGGGTATGGGTTTAACGCCTCTATCAACACTATTAGGTTACTTAAGAGACGAGACCTCCAAGTTTAAGGTCCATCTCCCAAAGGAATATGTGTTGATGTGTGCATTTTCACTTACACAACCAAGGAAAAACAAGCAAATCGTTTATGTTGCTGCTCTCCTCCTTGGCTCACAAGGTGTGTATATCCTTGCTGGAGATGCCTGTTTTAGATGTTACAAAGTTTCTATCAATGCTTTCCTCCTTGTTAGAGGTGCCAGTAAAGATGTTACACAGTTTCTATCAATGCTCTCCTCCTTGTCTCACAGGGTGTGTCTCCTGGGCAACCGCCTGCTGACGCGGGAGTCGGTCATGTTCAATGGTTCCTTCATGTGCACCAAGGATGAGGCAGGCCCGATTTACCGGCACTACTGCGGCGACGGCCTCAACGACACCGACAGCTGCATCTACTTCAGCCGGCCCGAGAACACAGCCCGGCTGGTCAAGGCCATCCCGGGGCTGGCCAGTGGCGTCTTCTCAGGTGAGGGTTTGTGTCCATCAGGAGCTGTCATCCTGATCCCTCCTCCTTCTTTCTTGTGTTTGTTTCTCTCTTTTAACACCTGATCTTCGGCACTTATATATCACCTTTCTGTGTTGCGAGTGCTGTTAAATTCTTACTTATACCAAAAAGGCTACCGGTCAGGTGTTGTGCAGAGTATTTCATCTGTTCGTAGTTGTATAGAGTATGTCATCTGTTAGTGGTTGTAGTATAGAGTAGGTCACCAGTTAGTGGTTGGAGTATAGAGTAGGTCATCAGTTAGTGGTTGTACAGGGTAGGTCTTCAGTTAGTTGTTGTTGTATTAGCACTTTTGCATGTGAGAATTTGATGTGGGAATGGGAAGATTTGCGGTTTTAGTTTTAGTAAGACAGAAATTCAAGAATGTTAAGGAATTCCTGTCTGTTGTTTCAACTTCTTCTCAGGGTTTTTATGACACTAACATGTTTGGTCTGCTTTTGAAAGAGCATATTCTGGCGTTAGACTCATAAGAAAAACCCCCATATAAAATAACTTGAGCATTTGGTGAGGAGAAGGTTTTTGATGAAATATTGAGTTGTTGGCTCCTCTCATTGTAAACGTGGGTGGTTAGAGGGTGCTCTGGTTTGCTCCTTCTTTCCTATCAAACGTCTATCGTCCTTATCTCTCCTTCTCCTTTTTTTGTGTTTTTTACATCCTTGTAACACACTACCTTATCTGCGGCACTTAAAAGACCTTATTGTGGTGCAAGTGTCTTAAAACTCTTACGAAAAAATCTCATTGTAAACGACATGACACATAAACACCTCCTTCAGGGAGATGAGAAGCGGTTCTGTGTCGGGAGCGACACAGCTTTTACCATTAGACACATTTTAGTATAATGTCTAGACTTTGGAGAGACCCGAAGGAAATATTTTGGGTGCAAGAAATTACAAGCTCTGTTTTCCGTCATTGATCCCAACAGAATCCTTGATTTTATAAAGGCTTTATGAAAAGTTGTGAAACACGTTGGAATTGTTAATGTCATTTAAAAAGTTATTTTAAATTAAGAATTTATTTACATTAAATTTTTAGCATTTTAACATTTTCAATAGAAATGTTGACCAGGGTCAGGCTGTTCAGTGAACTGATGTGAATAAGACCAACTTGTTTCGCGCGCTCATATTACCTTATCATCAGTTGCGAGCGCCGTAAAGATCTTACTAAAACAAACAAAACGAGACGTCAAGCTGAACTAGGCCTGTAATTTACTTCAGAGAACATAATGAGCCACTACACGGAGAAGGGGAACATTGTCGGTACAGACGAGGACGGGTCGGAGAGCAGAGGGGAGGTCATCGCTGAGATCACCACCTCCTTCATGGTTCTGTTGGCCATTTACTTCCCTTCTGTCACAGGTGAGTACATGGAGAGGGGTGCAGGAGGAGGGGTGGGTGTTATTTATAGATGTGAGATCACCTCTTCCTTCATTATTCTGTTGGCTATTTACCCCTCTTCTGTCACAGGTTTGTACAAGGCGGGGTGTAGTTTTGAGACATGTGTTTGTGTCCATGTGAGTGTGTGTGTGTGTGTGTGTGTGTTTGTGTTTTTCTGTATGTGTGTGTGTTTCTCTGTGTGTGTGTGTATGTGTGTATGTTCGTGTGTGTGTTTGTGTGTATGTGTGTGTGTGTGCATGCGTGATTCTGTGTGTCTATGTGTGTGCGTCATAAGTCCATTAGCCGACTACCTGTGCCCACACTGTGGGCAAACCTTCCCATCCGGAATAGGCCTAATTAGCCATCTCCGAACCCACAGTCACCGTCAGCAGACCAATTTGTGAAGTCATGGTCATCTTCAAAAGCGAAGGATGAACAACTGCAACATGTGTGTGTGTGTACATGATGAGGAGGAGGAGGTGGTGGAGAAAGAATGTTTCTGATTGTTCTAGGATCTGCTGAGGTTACTTACAATAGTTGTAAACCGCATAAAAAATCTGTAGAGTTTGGTATGTGGGCGATATAAATGTAATAATTATTATTATTAGTAGTATTATTATTAGCATTAGTATTATTATTATTAGTATTAGTATTACTATGAGTATTATTAAATTAGTACAGTCCACGCCGGCTTTAAGCACGGTCATCGGGAGAAAGCTGAAGCGTGCTTATTGTCGAAGCGTGTTTGAGTGCGAAGTAGACATAATCCAGAGATTTTCATGTAGAAAATTTCCTGAGCTATTTCCCTTAGTAAGTAAGCCTATAGTGGTCCTGCAAAAGTGTGCACTGTTATTTTACCCACCGTGGTAGTTTTCATTTGTTTGTTTGGTCTTGTGGTCGAATGGGAAATGAAAACTTATTTAGACGGCCAGTCACGATACAGCACACGAGGCCTACACACTGCCTGTGCGTACCTCTGCCCGCTGTACCACATTCATACCACCGCCTTCATCCCCCAAACACGGTCTTTGATCCCACCTCGTGGTGATACCAAATCAGGACTACCGGATAGCGAGAGGCAATAAGGTGAAATCGTAGCCTGCCTCCTTTTCTCATCTCCCCGACCCTCTTTGTATTTTTTTTTTCTGTGTGTAGCTCTGCCTAGGCTAGATCCTATGTCCACACGTGCGGCTGTGTGCATCTTTCTGCATTCCTCTCTGCGCATGTGTGTGTGTCCATCACTTGCGCTGTTTTTGTTTCTCTTAACACACTCACTGCTGAGGGGTAGACTGTGTTCAAACTTTGATGGGTCATCATGAAAGTATTGACTGTCTTGTAAATGAAGCGTACCTGAAGCCAAAGTTACCGTGCTTAAAGGCGTGTAATTTATATTGCAAAAATTCGGTAAGAGCCATGTAGCGTGCTTGAGTCCGAAACGTACTTTAAAGCCGACGTGGACTGTACCTATTAGTAGGCCTATTATTATTATTAGTAGTATTATTAATATTTGTATTAGTCTAAGTTTTAGTATTAGTAGTATTATTAGTATTAGTATTATTATTAGTTTTATTATTACGCCTATTATTGTTATTATTATTATTATTGTTACTATTATTATTATTACTCCGTATTATTACCTGTGACGTGTGTTCTCAGGAATCATGGCTGGTTCAAACAGGTCTGGTGATCTGGCAGACGCTCAAAAGTCTATCCCAACGGGCACCATTGCTGCCATCGCTACCACTTCCATTGTTTGTATCCTTTTGAGATATGGATGGTAATGTCATGTCAGGAGATTCAGAGACTCTTGACTTTGTATATAATACTTTCAATTTTACCATCTTGACTGGTTTAAGTTTATTTTCATTTTTCTCTAATCTTTCTATTTGTGTGTGGGTTATCGATGAACACTTTAATGTGGTTACCTCCTTCTTTCCCTTAAAACGTCTACTCTGTCATTCCTATTTCTCCTCCTTCTTTTCTTTGTATGTCCCTCTGTAGTCACACCTCTAATCTTCAGCACTTATAGAACCTATTTGTTTTGCAAGTGCCTTAAAATTCTTATTAAAACTTAAACTTTCTTATTGTTGTTGAAGCCAATAATATTTTATACATTATTGTTGTAAGATTGAAATAAATACTTTTTTTTATATGTTTAGGCCTTTATTATTTATAGCCTTGAAATGTTAGCACTGACAGAGACACTTAGTTAATTCATTATCTCCATAAATACAATTAGCCAGAGAGTTGTTGATGGTTTCCAATTATGATGATTCAGAAGACACAGAGATATTGATATTAGCTTGAAAAAAGGAATAAACGACGTTTGTAGCAAAATTACAACGTTGATATTTGTTCCCTTGACTGACGAAGATCTGACCAGTGTTCTGTTCTTTGCTGGCTGCATTGAGGGAGATGTGATGAGAGACAAGTAAGTCTTGCTACTTCTACATGTACGGGTCTTGCTATCAGTGTTTCTACTTCTACTGTTTGTTGGTCTATATACTTCTACTGTTTGTTAGTCTATATACTTCTACTGTTTGTTAGTCTATATACTTCTACTGTTTGTTAGTCTATATACTTCTACTGTTTGTTAGTCTATATACTTCTACTGTTTGTTAGTCTATATACTTCTACTGTTTGTTAGTCTATATACTTCTACTGTTTGTTAGTCTTGCTATCTGTGTTGCTACTTCTACTGTTTGTTGGTCTATATACTTCTACTGTTTGTTAGTCTATATACTTCTACTGTTTGTTAGTCTTGCTATCTGTGTTGCTACTTCTATTGTTTGTTAGTCTTGCTACTTCTACTGTTTGTGAGTCTTGCTATCAGTGTTGTTATCTGTGTTGCTACTTTTACTGTTTGTTAGTCTTGCTATCAGTGTTGCTACTTCTACTGTTTGCTAGATCTGCTATTGTCCTGTTGTGTTGTGGGCAGAATATGGGAATAGGTCTCACTTACTCCAACTAGGGTGTGTTGTTTGTCTATATTTATATTGTGTATTTATTTATGTATTTATTATAACATGTAATTAATGTATTTGATCTGCGTTTGTGGTGTAGCGGTTAGGTGCTTTATTGTTGCACGCAGGAGACCCGCGTTCGATTCCTATGTGGGAAGAATTTTTATTAAGTATCTCGGTCTTTGTTATATCCCTCTCATCAGCCGGGATGGCCCTGTGAAGCAGAGTCAAAGCCTTCCTCCTCCTGCATGATCTAAATTATGATGATATGAAATACAATTTTTAGTTTGAAAGTGTGTATGTTTATTGGAGTACAGTGTTGTAATACAAATTTGCCAAGTGGATCAATAAAAGTGGAATGTATTTATTTGAATTTTATTTTCCCACAAAACGTGAAAAGTAGCATCCTGCTGTTGTCAAACTGTACAACTGTCCTAAGCCCATACACCAACATGTTTCAGGAGAGAGAAGAAAACTCTTTGATTCTTATAATAATTGTTCTGACATCATGTATCTTTAATTTCTTTTTTCAACGTTTAAAATTTGAAGTTTGACAAAATTGTTCTGGAGCACATGCACCTGACATCACAGATTATGAAACTGCAAGAAAAAAACAGTTTTCAAAATGTTGGGCTTAGTATATGTGAACAGCTGGCTTATGGTTGTTTCGTTGTTCCCCTCGGTGGTTGGCGGATGCTCTAGTATGGTTTGTCCCTTCTATCCTATCAAACATCTATCGGGGGGGCTCTCGTGGCCTAGAGGTTAAGGTGTTGGCCTCTCATTCAAAGGTCCCGGGTTCGATTCCGGGTAGAGACCAAAAAATTTTCTTCTCTAAAATTGTCTCCTTTCACATCCTTTCCCGATCTCTAACAATGTTCTGTTGTCTGCTTTCATTTCCACTTTCTGCCCCCACCCCCTCACCTCCTTTGCCCCCTCCTCTGGGCTCCTGACTCTTTCTGCAGCCTTTCTACTGCTACTCCTTGGCTCCTCCTAACTGCTGTCTTTCTGCCACACCCCTGATCTTCTGGTAGGAAAGATCTACACCTAGCCTTCTCGGACAAGGGCGAAAAATCTCGGAGGGCCCGTGTGCAAGTTGCGCACGTTAAAGATCCCTTGGTGGTCTAAAATCGATAAGAGTAGGCTTCGGCCGGCACCCGGGCAAAATTCAAAATTTCCTACCAACGAAAAAGTATTAGGTGTGTCCCGCACGCTCATATGACCTTATGCAGTTGCGAGCGCCGTAAAACCCTATACTAAACAAACAAACAAAACATCTATCGTCGTTATCTCTCCTCCTTGATTTATGTTGCTAACTAGTAACACCTCTAATTTTTAGCTCTTATATGACCCAACTGAGTTGCAAGTGCCATGCGGGTGGTTGGAGGGCACCACTGGTAGGTCTTACTTCTTTACTGTCCCTCTGTTGTTTCGGTCTGTCCGTCTTAGTTTTTCCAAGCCTTAAATAACCATTATTGTGTCGATGTGCTTCTCTTTACTCAGACAAACAAACCGAGCAAGTGCCGTAAAACTCGAACTAAACAAAAGCTAATCTTCCCCATCAGGTACGGACAAAGTATCGGGGGCAGTCTGCTCATCGGCAAGCTGGCCTGGCCCCACGAGTGGGTCATCCTGATTGGTTCCTTCTTGTCCACGCTCGGCGCTGGTCTACAGACTCTCACAGGTGAGGGGGCGGGTGGTTGGTGTGTGCTCTGGTGGGGTGGTTGGTGGGTGCTCGCTCAGGTGTGGTTTGCTCCTTCTTTCGTATCAAACATCTTATTCGATAGGAAAATAACAAGGACCTTAGAACAACCTATAATGTCCTTGGATAATAAGTGATAACGGCATGTCTTATGCCACTGTGATAGGTCATCAAGGTTGACCACTCTTTTCTGGCCATATGTCGTAAACCTACCCAAGGGTCACATCAGTTCGGTTTAGAGTGAAACGGAAACCATTTTACCGATTGTGGGCCTAAACATGGGTCACCATAGTTACTTCCCTTGGTGCGTCGGCTAAGATCCCGCTCGCCGAAGATGCGGCATTTTCCTTGCTACAGAGCACCGGGATCTTAGAGTCGGAAACCACTGTATATACATTCAAACCTGCTCTAATGACCAACTGCCCATGACTTTGTGGGTGGTTGGCAGGTGCTGTGGTGTGGTTTGCTGCGTCTTTCTTATCAAACATCTGTTGTCCTGATCTCTCGTCCTTCTTTTTGTGTCTGTTTCTCTCTTGTAACACCTCTAATCTTTGGCACTTATATGATCTTATTGTATTGCAAGAGCCATAAGTAAGTAAGTAAGTTTATTTAGTGTATAAAGGCCATTGGCCCACATCACGTCATTTAAAATGCTCATAGCAAGTGCCGTAAAACTTACTAAACTAAAAACTGACATTGAATTAAACGAAATGTACACCCCCAGGAGCCCCGCGTCTGCTGCAAGCTATTGGAAAGGACGGAGTGATCCCCTTCCTTCACCTGTTCAGCGTGACCACCAAGCGGGGCGAGCCATTCCGGGCTCTGCTGCTGACCGCGGTCATCTCCGAGCTGGGCATTCTGATTGGCAACCTGGACTATGTGGCTCCCATCATCACCATGTGAGTTAGTCAAAGTAGGGG